CCAGGAGTGGGCACTTATTTAGATGTCATGGATCAGACACTCACTGTTGGTCCAAGCTTCCACTGTTTTCAGTGGGCTACTAAGATCTTTTCAAACCCTTTGCACCAGGCAAAGCCAAAGCTAAAACTCATTGAAGTCAGTAAAAAAAAAAAACCAACACAAAACAATCATTGATTTTCTTGGCCCCTGAACTGGGACCTGAATCATAAGAAAATCTACTTTCCATCTATGTTATTCAGAGAATATCCAATGTGCTTGTTTAAACAGCTGACTCCGTAATTGGGCTAGGACTGAAGGGCTAAGCTCAGGATACAAACCCACTAAAACAGTGGCTGTGCCTCAAAGGAAGTTTGTCAGCAATGCCATAACAAACCTGTACAAACTCTCTCACACTTTCACAGATATGCACATTGACATGTACACATATTCATAGATTCATGCATACCCCGCATTATCACATATATACTTACACATTTTTCTCCCTTCTTTGTACATATTCCCTTGTACATATATATGAAATCACTTTTACTCACATAACATACACACTCATGTACAAACACATTCTTCCACAGTATCTTTCCGTCATACATAGGCACTTTTTCTCACATATATACACAAATGCACACACAAACACACTTGTTTACTCACAAAACGCTGTCTATTCATATACAGTGAGAAGACATGAAAGCTTAGGCTTGTCTAACAATGATGCAAAAAATATCAGGGCCCCTTCTTGCAATAGAATCTGCATCCCTGTGGTATGCCCAACAAGTTCCTAATCCTTGTTCTGACATGGCCAGCAACTAATCTACACAGACCCAATCCCAAGACTCTCAGGAGATCATATGTCAAATGTACAGCTGCAGTGTGCGCCATGTCTTGGGAGATCTGCTTGGCCTGCATTCCCTCTCAAGATGACTACTGAGCTCCACCTGCTGGGCTACTGTGACCTTCCTTTGCACTCCTGGCAGAGTGAGAAATCAGAGAGAAATACTGACAAATGAGGCAATGGTCAAATATGCTTAGGAAGTGTGGTCTTTGATGTTGTCTAGAGGTAGGCAGCATGGTCTGGAATTAGAGATTTGAACTGTGAAGTCATATTTGGTGGTGAACCACCTTGAACAAAATCACTTCTTGTCTCTGTAATACCTTCTTTACCAAGGTGGGTTTTAAGCAAAATGCTGGAAAAAGTAAGGTTTTCAGGGACCCTTTAGTGTTTGCAGAGGTATACTCGGTAATTAAGTGCCTTTGGGCAGGATACACTCTGTGCTTCACTAGTCACTGTCCCAAAAGTCAAGTGCTTCTATTTCACAGTCTTTTGGTGTTTCCTTTCAGCTCGGCCACTCTCCCCATCACATTCAGGTGCTTAGAAGGAAACATTGGAGTGGATAGGCGTGTAACTAGATTTGTTCTGCCTGTGGGAGCAACTATTAACATGGATGGCACAGCTCTGTATGAGGCCCTGGCAGCCATCTTCATCGCACAAGTCAACAATTATGAACTTGACTTCGGGCAGATCATCACAATAAGGTGCGTTTGTGTGCACTTGTATCATGGTTTAGCTGAGCCCTCCAACTTGTGCTGGAAGGGACCCTGAGGGTTTTGAAAGCCCAATTCAAATGTGACCAGGCAGTAAAAAGAGACAGAGAAGAAATGAATATAATCTAGACGTCATACCTCTTGGGCCTCACTTATACCAGTGGTCACCTACAGGGAGTTCCACTATAAAATGGCCAGAGGCCTGCAAAGCCCAATTTGTGGTACACAGTATGAGCCATTGTGAGGGCCAAGCAGCAGGGGTTGGCCCTGGAAGGTTGGGCAGAGAAGTGGGGTGGGTTTCTGACAAATTGACTCACATAATGAATATTGGTTTACCACTGAACTAGATAAGCAAGTTTTAAACTGAAGTGGCTTGAAAATCTTGTGAATGTAAATTGTTTATGACCAGCAGCTGGACTCCAATTCCCAGCAGCTCCTGCCTGCATGCCTGGGGCCAGTCTCCATGGACACCGTAGCTGCACCTGCACTGTGATAGTGCAAGGCTGGGATTGTCATGGAGACTGGCCCCAGCCATGCTGTCAGGGTGCGCAGCAGGGCAGGAGGCTGCTCTGGAGCTGCTGGGATCTTGCAGCTGGGGCAGCTTGGTCCGGGGCCAGGGCAGAGCTGAAATCTAGCCTGCACACTCTAGGCAGGGGCATGCAGGCAGCGGATTGGGGCTGTGCCCCGGCTCCTTGCAGGCGGTGACAGCCTGGGGCAGAGCCCCAGTCCACAGCCTCAGCACCACTGCCCAAGCCAGGGCACAGCTGCAGTCCGCTGCCTGAGCACTCCTGCCCGGAGCATGCAGGCTGTAGATTCCAGCTCTGCCCAAGCCCCACCACAAGATCCCAACAGCTCTGGAGCAGCCCCCTGCCCTGCCCTGCCCTGCCCTGCCCTGCCCTGCTGCTTGCCCTGCCAGCATGGCTGGGGCCAGCCTCCATGGTCACCCCAGCCTTGCTCTATCACAGCACAGGTGCAGCTGGGGTCTCCATGGAGACCAGCCCCAGCCATGCGGGCAGAGGCTACTGGAAAATGGAGTCTATTGCCAGCCCGTGGGCCAGACTTTGCCTGCCCCTGATTTAAATCTTCAGGTGATGAGTAAATTACCATATTATTGGGGAAGTTGTTCCAGTGGTTAATTACTTTAACTGTTGCACTTTTTTACTGTTAAAATTGTGGCTTATTTCCAGTTGGAATTTGCCTAGTATCAACTTCCAGCCACTAGATCTTGTTCTTCTTTGGTCTGCAAAGAGTTCTCTGGTATTATAAATTTCCTATGTACATAGCCCTCATCCCATATGCAATTTAGTTTGATGGTGACAGTGTGCTTAGGAGTCTAGTCAATGACGCACTGCAGGATAAGAGTATTGGCACGATGGGAGTCCAGGAAGGGTGGTCATTCCTAAAGGAAGCGATCCTTCGGGCACAGAGGGAGACTATCCCAGCATGAGGGAAAAGGGGGAAAGGAGCCAAAAAACTTCCTTGGCTAAACAGGGAAATCCAGGGGAGCCTAAGGGCAAAAAAGAAGGCGGTGGAAGCAGGGGGAAGCTACCAAGGAGGAGTATACCAACTTGGCCCGCACTTGCAGGGAGGCAGTTAGAAAGGCCAAAGCAACTACAGAGCTGAGGCTGATGACACAAATTAATGACAACAAAAAGTTTTTTTAGGTATGTAGGGAGTAAAAGGAAGGTGCAGGGCAGCATAGGACCCCTACTGAACAAGAAGGAGCAATTAGTGACAAGGGAGTGATTAGGGAGGACAAGGCTGAGCTATTCAATGAGTTTTTTGCCTCAGTGTTCCTGAACAGGGATCAAGATAAGTCTCCTAATGGGTTCTTAGGTGGGCATCAGAGGGACACCAGCCCACCAACTGTTGACGTTGACTTGGTACAGTCTCATTTGGATGGACTGGATGTGTTTAAGTCAGCAGGCCTGGATGAGCTTCATCCAAGAGTACTGAAGGAATTGGCCGGTGTCATAGCAAAACCACTGGCACGGCTGTTTGAGCACTCATGGCATGCAGGTCAGGTCCTGGAGGACTGGAAAAGGGCCAATGTGGTCCCTATTTTCAAGAAGAGGAGGAAGGAAGATTTGAGTAATTATAGGCCAGTCAGTCTCACCTCCATCCTTGGAAAGGTCTTTGAAAAGATTATGAAGGATCATATTTGTGGGAGTCCAGCGGGAAAATGGAAAAGAGGTGGATGTTGTTTTCCTGGATTTTAGCAAGGCCTTCGATACAGTATCTCATCCCATTCTCATAACTGAATTAAGAGGCTATGACATAGATGTTTATATGGTCCGGTGGGTGGCAAATTGGCTTACTGGTTGCACCCAGAGAGTGGTAGTAGACGGGTCGGTATTGACCTGGAAGGATGTGGGTAGTGGGGTCCCGCAGGGTTTGGTCCTTAGACCTGTACTCTTCAATATCTTCATCAGTGACTTGGATGGGCGCGTGAAGTATACTCTGTCCAAGTTTGCAGATGATACTAAATTGTGGGGTAGAGTGCACACTCCAGAGGGTAGGGAATGATTGCAGGCAGACCTGGACAGGATAGAAAAATGGGCACTACACAATAGGATACAGTACAACAAGGACAAGTGCAGAGTGCTGCACCTAGGGTGCAAAAATATCTCAAGCACAGAAGCAGAAAGAGATCTCAGAGTCATAGTGGACTCCAAGAGGAACATGAGTCATCAGTGACACGAAATCATCAGCAAAGCTAACTGCACTTTATCGTGCATCAGCAGATGCATGACAAATAGAACCAAGGAGGTGATACTTCCCCTCTATGTGACATTGGTCAGATCACAGTTGGAGTACTGCATCCAGTTTTGGATGCCGTACTTCAGGAAGGATGTTGATAGACTCGAGGGGGTTCAGAGGAGGGCCACTCGTGTGGTTAGGGGCTTACAGGACAAGCCCTATGAGGAGAGACTCAGGGACCTGGACCTCTTCAGCCTCCGCAAGAGAAGGCTGAGAGGTGATCTTGTGGCCACCTACAAATTCATTAAGGGGACACAGCAAGGGATTGAAGATGTTCTGTTCACCAGGGCACCTCTTGGGGTAGCAAGGAACAATGGTCACAAACTGACAGAGAGTAGATTTAGGCTAGATTCAGGAAAAACTTCTTCACAGTAAGGGTGGCCAAAATTTGGAATGGGCTTTCAAGGGAGGTGGTGCTGTCCCCTACCTTGGGGGTCTTTAAGAGAAGGCTGGATAGGCATCTGGCTGGGCTCATCTGACCCCAGCGCTCTTTCCTGCCTAGGCAGGGGGTCGGACTCAATGATCTGTTGAAGTCCCTTCCAACCCTAGCGTCTATGAATCTATGACAGTAAATGAGGTAGGGGCCACACACAAATGTTAAGTGTAAAACAGAATGTTGGACAGCTGCCTCATTTCCAAGCCACTATCCTTCTTGAGCACTGAATGAGGTGAGTAATTGTGGGGAATATAGTAAATGATCATAAAATACAAAATTATATTATAATGTTTTGATACATAGGGATAGGAGTATGATTCCTCATACAACCATGAATCTGCTGTTTTCTAATTTTCATGTGCTGGAGTTTGCAACCTTAATATCATTTTAATGTAGATAGAGTTTTGCTTGTAATTAAAGACAGAGAATCAAACTAAAATAATTGTTAAACCAATTTTTCCACTTAAGTCATGGGAAGCTTTGTTAATAGTTTTGCCATTGGAGCAGCAACAGACACTAATTAAATGCAGTCTCTCCTATTTAGCAAGGCATGGCCTCTTCTTTTTCTTGCTGATGACTGTTTTTCTGTCCTCTCCAGCATCACTGCCACAGCAGCCAGTATTGGAGCAGCAGGCATCCCGCAGGCAGGCCTAGTGACGATGGTTATAGTATTGACATCAGTGGGGCTGCCAACAGAGGACATCACGCTGATCATCGCTGTGGACTGGTTTCTGTAAGTTCCTGCACAGCAGCAGACACTGCCTAGTCCAGGTTCCACTCTGCAGTATTCTGGAGTTTACTTTGTACAGTCCCTGTCAAGAACACTTATTTGAAATATTTGGAATCATATTGTTTCTGTTCCAGGAAGAAGGGTTCAGTACTAAAATACTAGGGTTACAAGGGTTACAGTACTAAACCATATAATTAAGTCTGTAACATGCATCTGTCCCCAAGATCATTTCTGTTCCTTAAAAGACCTTAAAACCTGCATATCCGTAGAGCAGCAGCTGCCATATTTGATCATAAAAATGTGATGAAAATATTCTAAAAATAAACACAGTAGGCTGAAAGAACAATTCGCAATTTGGGGATTATTTGTAAGATGGAAACTGAAGATAGCTGTAGACAACTGATGGGGTGACAAGGGAGGAGGGGGATTGAATGGCAGAAAGTGCATCTATGCAAGTTTGCACTAGAG